GCCTCGGATTCACTTCTCCGCACGTCCTACCTTCCAGAATGTGGTCGCTTTTCTGATGAGAGAGTTGTTGCTCTTCTTTTCTTCGATCTCTTGTTGAGTTTGTAGGTGTTCCGAATGGTTCGATCCCTATCCAGCTGAATTCCTGAGAGGAGACGAAATCCAGGTCTCCTACTCCTCCGCCATCTTGCTCTGACCCCCAAATGTGGCCTTTTTTGCCTAAGCAAAGGAAATCCTCTGGATTTCTCAGCAAGCCCGGGGGGGGGGACCTAAAGCTCCTGGCACCCATTGCTTTCTATTACCTTAAATATAGGTGCCTGGCAGGGGGCTAGCGGGCTGCAGGGGATGTGGTTAGGGCTGAAGCATTCCAGGATGGGGCCACCAGAAACTTGTCAGGAAAGGTTGCCTGCAGCTTACGGTGGCTATAGTTGGCTTTGTACATCTTCTATAAAAAAAAATAGAGCGATCATTCTATAAAAAATAAAGGTATTGTGTTCATGAGGATCATATCAAATAGTTTGGGTTTTAGCCATCTCTTGGCTAAGTCCAAGTGTTGAGACCATGCATTATTGGAGGTACCACCTTGAATAACAGGAACTTGATTACCGTCTGGTTTCATGATCTCTGCATGTGCCTGGCTTTTTGTTCAAAAGTGATGTTGCCATTTTGTCCTTCAAATGATGCTTTCTGACCCAGGTATGTTTCAATGTATGCTTCTAAGGACAAAATGCTTTGGAAGCCAGGTTTGTGTCTTGCAAGCACAGTAAATCTCAACTGATGACAGTCAACTTAACAACAGCATGAACCATTAAATTTAACAAATTCGAAAATCACTGCTCCTGACCCAGATCTTGTTTTCTTGGATACCAAGCTCCAAGAAGCCTAAGGTAGAGCTAGCTAAATTTGCTGAATAATGAACGATCAATTGTCATTCATTTATTCATAATTCATTCAATCAGGTTCAGGTCTATGCCGCAGGCAAAACTAATAGATTGAGTCATGAGTCGGTTCACCATTCTGGGCTGTGATGTCAACAAGGTCATCCGCCTGACAGAAACTCCTGCCAATCCCATCATGCTTCTCTGGAGCTGTAGTCAGAAGCCGGGACAGAGGTTATGGAGAGGGCCCTTTCTTCCCTCACCCCACCTTCTACCTCTTCTGTCTCTCATTATTTGCAGCAGCTGCAGCTGGAGGCCTTTTATGGCCAATACTCACAGAGTGTGCCTTTGACTTATGGAAAGGGGCAATTTCTACTGCTGAAGGGCACGGAAGGGCCCAGTGGGTGAAACAGCAACACAAACCAGCTGGAACACAAATCCAAGCCCTCACAGTGAGCGTGGGCCGTTGTGACAGTTCTTTTACAACCCCGAACGCTATTGTACAGCTATGCTCTTTCCTTTAGCTTCAGGTCCTCTACCATATTTTTGTGGCTCTGTGTGTGTGTGTGTGTGTGTGTGCGCGCGCATGCATTTGTGCACATGCACACGTGTAGTGTGTGTGTGTGTGCGTGTGCTATGTGGTGGAGGCTGGAGAATCCTGAAAAACAGGCTTCAGGTTTCAGGGTTTCAGTCGTCTTGGAGAGTTGCTGTCAGTCAGCTCTAACGGGGGTCACTCCAAGAACATAAAGGGCAGCATAGCCTGGCCAGCTGAAAACCCTGTGAGATGGGTCAACTCAGAGGTGAGGGTGTTGTTTTTTAATAGTTTCAATCTTTGCTCTTGGCTGTAGGTAGATACAATCTCTTTCCCAGAAGGCTCTGTGCCTTTCAAAACAGAATACTAGCATTTTCTCTGCTTTCAGGGGCTTGCTGCCCTGTGGTTTGTTTTTTTTTTTTTTTTAACTCATTTGTTTTACTAGTATTGATTTTATACTCCACCTTCCAGCCTTAACTTATTGTCATAACCTACCAAAGCCCCAGAAAACAGGCAGGCTCTCGCAGAAATCCTGAAGACGATTAAATGGAGCATCTGAGAAAGTCAAAAGGGAGAGTTAGTGAAAGCCCCTTAAGGCACCTCAGTGTGTGCTAGGGAACTGAGGGTGCACATGCCATCCGTTCGCCATGCCTCTTTCTATAGTGAGTGTTAAGGCGGGGCAGTGGAGAGAGATCATTGGATAAATACTCAAGGAACTGAAGTGTTGATTTCTGCCCTGATCTTAGTTAGCTCTGTTATCTGGGGCAAGGTTTTTGGCCTGAACCGTTGGAAGAATGGAGTTGCTCTTAACAAAAATGGGGAAGACTCATTGTAGATGAAGCAGGAAGATTTGAGGTGAAAATCAGGAGCTCGATTTTGGGTACATTGAAATCTAACATCCATGTAGAGATATCAGAGTAGGCAGTTGACTTATGAGTCTGGAATTTAGGAAACAGGTCTGAGCTGAAAGTATAAATCTGAGCTTTATGGCATAGATGTGGTATTTAAAGCCATGAGACCAGGAGAGATCCCCAACGGAGTTAAGTGTTGCTGGAGAAGAGGACCAAGGACTGAGCTGTTTAATGCTCTCATGTTAAAAGATCAGAGAGATGAAGGGGAAAAAAAACCCATATACAGTCCAAACGGAAATGTCTGCAAGCTAAATTTGGTCCCTGTACTAGACCAAGTGTTGGGAAATTTCATAGGAGTTCACGCTTAAACAAGACCACAGGTAATGCCTATTTCAAGCAAAAATGCTAAACTAGGAACAGAAAACCTGGCTTCTAGTCTGGATTTTATGCCCAGGTAAGTGACCTTGACAAATCGCTGAACTACTTTGCTCCTCCCTTTCCTGTCTAAAGAGACAGAGAGCCAGGCCAGATGATCTCCAAGTTTAGACATTCATGGTTCTAGACATTTTAGAGAGGAAGAAACTGAAGCCCAGGGAGAGGGAATTAAGTGACTTGCCTAACATTCTGGCTTTAGGAAGAGACCACAGGCCAGTGTGTCTTCTTCTTCTGTACTGTTTTAAACCCCGTATGTGTATTAGAATACCTGGGGTGCTTTTAGGAATACTGATTACTAGGTCCCAAACCTAAAGTATCTCATTTTGTTGGTCTGCATTGGGTTTGGCCTTGGTATTTTTGACACTCCTTGGGTAATTGACAGCCCACTGTTCTGTAGACAGGGCATGGCAGTGTCTTGCTAGCTGCTACCAAGCCTCTCTGCATCTTGACTTGTCTTTCCAACACGAAAATGATTCACTCAATTTTAAACCCTTTTATTCAGATGAAGGAGGAGGATAGCTTTCTAGACCTGGTGAAACCAAAGTAGCAAGTATCAGCTTTCTCTGAAGCTCAGTAAAATGACATGACCATAGCTTTCTTGAACTCCATCCTAGAGGTGAAATGTTATGGAAAACCATGAAGCCATGGCCCATGGGCGGTGGGGGGGGGGCTAGGGAGGGATCGTTCCCTCTTCCTCCCTACCTTTTTGGAATAGATACAAGTTTGTTCCAAAACCAAATTTACTAGGTTAATAAGCAGTGCATCAGGCATAGTACACCAAATGCTGTTGCTTTTACTATATTTATATAGCAGGCAGAGTTATGCTGTCCACCATAGAAGCCTTACTGCTTTACAGTGGTTTCTCACCAAAGCTTTGCCACTTTGGACACCAACAGGATATAGGGTTTCTTGGTTAAAACCCACATTCTCCATACATTACAACATTTGGCTCTGTCTTTGGGGGGTGTTATGTGTCAGTATGTATGTTTGCATGTGTATGTGTGGGGTTGTGTGTTTCAACTGTATTCTAGCGTTCACTTTCTCCAGGGAGCACGTGTCTAGGAGAAGAGCCATTTTGGACTAAGACAGGACACAGACAGGGACTGTGGAGACACATTATTTACAGCCTCACCACACTCACCTGCTATTCTAGTAGTGCCAGCAAAATGATTTTATCATGCATAATGTACTGGTCATTAACCTGGTAAATTTCTTTTGGATGCCTCTTGTCTATTCCATACTTGTTTTTTTAGTGCCCTTTATAACTCTAAATCACTTTTTTAGTTTAGGAGCATAAAAATATATTGTGTATGACTGGTTTGCTCATAAAATTGTCATATTTGATATATTTAAAGATGTGAAGGCCTGGGGGAGAAAAACAGAAAAATTCAGGGGAGAAACCAAGCAAGTCTTCAGAAACAATTGTTTTTTTCCTCTGGGTCTTCATAGCTCTCCTCCACTCAGACGTGCAGCCCATACTAATGAACACAGGCTTGGAATACACTCTGAGATTGCTCTAGGGTGACCAGGGCTCAAGATAATTGTAATTTTTAAAAATAGGTTTCACCGTTGTTTGGAACCATCTACAATTCAATTTACTTTATCGCACAAGCCATGAATAATGCTATGAAAGAAAATGGACGGGCTAGTGCTGCCAGCCTGGTTCAGCATTCCAGAAACATGCAGTTCTATGGATTCAACCAGTTGATAAGGACAGATTCAAATGGAAATGGAATCGCAGAATATGTAATCCTGGACACCAACTGGAAAGAATGGGAACTCTATAGTACTTACACTGTGGACATGGAAATGGAGCTGCTGCGATTCCGAGGGACCCCCATTCACTTCCCTGGTGGCAGGCCCCCTCGAGCAGATGCAAAATGCTGGTTTGCAGAAGGGAAGATCTGTCGAGGAGGTAAGGAATGGAAAATCACTGGTAGTCAATTTGGCTCAGTGTGGGTTATAAGGGAACCTCTTTAAGGGAAGGCGTACTTTAACATTGGAACACTCATAGAATCAGTCATTTGCATTCAGGGGAGATAAACATCTTGGCATTCCAGGTAGTTAGATTAAAATAACGAGGACAATGAGAGGTACTTTGCAGCCTTGGATAATCATCTACAATTTAAAAGCCAACCCCACTCATTTTCAAAATGATCCCACTCCCAAGGAGGTTTACTCTAAGAAGAGGAAGCCATGAGTCTTCTCCTTGGTCTGTTGTCGACTATGACCTGTGATCATTTCCCCTGCTAGAAAGATCACCTGTCCTTCCCTTGATGTATCCAAATCCTGTCAGTCAGGTCCACCCACAGAGATACCATTTCTATACCTTCTCTTCTCTGAACTCCCATTGAACTAAAAGTCTGTACCTCACAGCTTAGCACAAAATTGCTTTTCAGTTGTTTCTTGTGTATTGATTGTGTCTCCCCCTCCCAAACATACTGCTCCTTGAGGGCAGGGACCATAGCTAATAGTTCTTATGCGCCACCCCCCAACCAACACAGTCGGCATCCAAAATATACTTGCAGTTTGACTGACTGATGGAACTCCTCTAGCTTGAGGAAGAGTGGAAACTCCATCATATCTCTGAGAGCCAGAGGGGAACTTTGGGAGGATCCATATTATTCCTATGTGAGTGTACACCACACCCTTCTAAAACCACATGCATCTATTTGAAATGGACTTCAATTTCTAGTTTGCTTGAGTGTGACATACCCAACTACCTTGACGTTAGCGTCATCATATATTTCCTTCTGAAATCTTAGTAATCCATCCAAATGTTTAGGTTTTCTAGAGGCTAATTTACATCTCACTGAAACCCTAATTATCAAAACCAGACTCACCCTTGAAAGACAAGTGCTATGTTACTCATCTATAACTCACAAGGTCTATGGGCTCCAGTGAATTTAAAGGTCTTTTATTTTATGAAGGTGACATAATACTTACCCTTCACAGGTGAGATAACATATTTACTCTCAAGAACTCTATTGCCATCCAACTTAAATTAAGGTACTCAAAGTTTTCTATTCGTGGACTTTTTCCTCCAAAGCGACACCCGGGTCAGCCTTAATTCATGTGATTTGTTATTGTCAGAATGGTGAGTGGTTTTGCCTCAGAATGGCGAAATTGCTTTCTGTGTCCATAAAGTCAACAAGACATACTGTGCTGTAGAAAAATGGAATTAAGTTAGGTAGATGTGGCTTGATTTTAGTCTCACCAGAAAGCATGAGGAGCCACTCCGTGGTGCCCTTTATTTACAGCCTCTCTCTGACAAGGCCATTCTTCCTCTCGCTCTCTACAGGCATTGACCCTGCCTTTGCTGTGATGGTCTGCCTTGCTTTGCTTATAGCCCTGCTGTCTATTAATGGATTTGCTTACTTTATAAGGTACATTTTTTGTTCTTTTTGGATATTAAAATACAAGCCCGTAATAGCCTTGTGAATATTTATTTCCAGGAAGTCATGTTTCAGTACAATTTCCTCATTACGTGACCCACTGATTTTCTGTTTTCCATAGCAGTTTACTGTCCCTACTGGCCCCATTTAGAGTGAAGTGTTTTCATGATGCCAAGAATAACTTCCTCAGCTGTGTTATCAGTGTGGTTGCCTGTGAGTAGATTTGGCTTGCCACATTATTGTGAAATAAGAGAACTAGTAGTTTAGGGCCTGTGTACTCCCTACCTATGCTCCCTTTTCCACTGGCAGAGTCTCCACTACCCATCTCTTTCCCCAAATGGTATGGACTAGTAGAAAATAGAATTGGGATATTTTAACCAGGTCTAAGAATTAGTCAGACTTTCGTGAGAATCTAGGAGTTGGGAATAATGGTACTAGTTCACAGGATTGTAGCAGGGATTATTAAATAAACTAAAGTAAGTAAAACACCTAGAATAATAATACCGACTCAGAGTAGGTGCTCAACAAGTAGTAAGGTCTCACCTCCTTCCCAGGCACATGGGATTCTCCTGCTGATTGTTGGGAGCCCAGAATCCTCACTTTGATGCTCATACTTTTTGCCATGGGTATTATACTCCAGATCCACATTGTCCTTCTTCCTTGAACAAAAGCTATCCTAGCTAATCACCAATATCATCATTATCATCACGTCTTTGTCCCTCTCCCTGAGATCCCATGAGAGGTGACCAACTACTCTGATGAATGAGTTCAGGATCGGGGATAAATGGCTGAAGATGGCTTAATATGATGCTCTTTTCTCATAATCTTTGCATTTTAACGGTTGAACCCTCCCCATATTAAGATGATTTGGGGAAAGTAAAAAATGAAATCAACCACGACCCTCCCACTTTACCTTTTCCATCCTGCTAACCACACCTTTGTTATCTCTTTGTAAGAGTGGTCCTGACAAAAATATGACACAAACTTGGTGGGGAATAGAATGGAGCTCCTTTGGCAAGTTCTGAGAAAAAATGTCCAGAGTGTATTAAGCAGCTGTGTAAATCTGGACAAGACACTAAACCTCTCTCTGCCAGAATTTTCTCATTTGTAAAATGAAGGGATTGGATTAAGTGATCTTTAAGAGCCCTTCCAGCTCTGATGTTCTAACAAGTCCGTGAAATCCTGGCTTGAAACTCTAACAGGTGGTACTCTTAGCGTTTAGTATGTTGGCATCACTGTGAGAAACCACTACTATTCAATCTCCTCATATTAGAAACTTGATAAAGCCATACAGAGTGGTGGGTAGCTTGTGAATTGCTAAAACACACTTGACAAAGACATTAGTTCAAAGGAGGTTGTTTTTTTAATTTCTGCGACTGTGACATACTCCTGCTCAGAACAGAAATTTAATGTATTGAGTTTAGCTGTTGTCAAAGGCCAAAGTATTGAGTTAACATCGTTAGATGCTTAGTGAAAATAAATGTTATCCAACCAGAAAGCTCCCCTCTCTAGGGAGATTTGAAGAGTAATAGTCTCTGGCTGCCTGATGCCAAAACATCCCATGGCCAGGTTGAAAATGGAGTCACTCAGCTGCTTAGGTTACTTGTCAACCTCCCACCTCACCCCCTATGACTGGCCTCACTGGTCTTTCCCATGGAATGGACTGGTTCTTTCAGCTTAGAGTGAGCTCAATCTGCAATTCTTGGGAAGGCAAGGATAAAAAGTCTGTAAAATCACGAGGGGGTTGTTTGGAGTTTGTGGGCTGAAGGGCCAAGAAGGCTGGAGAGGGACATGATTGGAGAGGAAAATGAGTTTGAGACAATTGGTACTCCAAGTGGTACTGAAAACTCAGAGATGGGAGAGAGGCACATCATTTCCCAGAGTCACTTGGTCCTTGGTTCTTCAGCTAACAAAGCACAAAAGATGCCCTCTCTTTGCTGCCTGCCTCCCCCTCTCTGCCCACCACGGCTGCAATCAGAAGAACTGAGCGTCTGATGAGTTTCTGTAATAGATGGTGATTACTTGCAGGAGAGTGACTCTCTGTTCCTTCCTTTTCTCTGTGTTTTGATTGTTTAAGTTTTTTTTTTTTCCAGAAAGAAAGATGTGCAAAGAACCCAACCACCCCAAAACAAAGGATTCTTTGAACTCCTCCTTTCTCCGGACTCTGAACCAGATTGCCTCGCCTTCCTATAAAGCTCTCCAGTGCTTTGTAAAACTAATGATGATAATGATAATAATGAGCTCTTATACTTTCATGGTGCTTCATGCTTTTCAGAGCACTTTCACATATATTATCTCATTTGATTTCCAAAACAACTCTATAAAGCGGGTAACGCAGGAACCATTATCCTGCTAGACAGATGAGGCCATGGGGGGCGTGAAGAGGTTAAATTTTTATCTAAGGTCATCTGGCTAATTAATGACAGAATTTGCACTACACCCCAGGTCTCTGCATTGGGAGTCTGATTCTCTTTCTACTAGAGTGTGTAGCGTGGTTATTTTCACAGGTGTGCCTACTTTAAGACAATTCACTACACATATGAAACGGATAAGTTAGGGAGTAATGCTTTACTTTGCCAAAAGATTCATGTGCTCTACCCAAGAATTCACTACAGGGCTCTTTTAATTTTCCCTGCAGGGCAGCAGCTCCCACAGTGATAAGGGACATATTTGTTGGCAGACAATTAGAAACACATTAATTGTTTGTTTACAAACCAGTGGAATCACTGATACAAGCAGACTGTGTTGCTGGTGCTTAAAGCTACAGTGACATCGAAGACTTCCTTACAGCAACTTGACAAAGCATTTTGATTCAGTGGTTGTTTTCCCCACTCTGGCACTGGGCTTTAATACATTCCACAGGGTGACCATTAAGGGGTTGTGGAAAAAGCGAAGCCAAACTGTAGCTGTCAGCGCCCCCAAGACAAAACAAAACAAAACAACCACGCAGACTAAATCCAAGGTATCCTTCAGGTCCTCAAGTTGTCAGGTTGGCTCAACTGCGATGACCTACCTGGCTGTGTGGGTAGACATCAAAAACTTCTATGTGTCTAGTAACTGATTTGTAGGAAATCATTATATTTGCTGCAAATTAATGGGCATGTTTGAAGAGAATCAGGTTTAAACTGTGTCTGTGTAATGCTCAGACAAGAGACCAATTCAGTAAAAGAAAAAAAAAAAAAACCCGGTCAGCCCACTTGTTTGGAATCATGTAGACAAAGCAACCAACTGATTGAATTTTTCCACTTTTCAACCTGTCGCTTGGGCAACGCATAGACGCTACTTCGCAAGACAAGTGGTCTTGTGGGCAGAAATCTGGGCCCACAGCCAGGGACCAAGTATTGGAGTCCCAGCTCTGCCTTGGCCCAGGGGATCTCACAATTTGCTTAATTTTGTTTTGTTTCTTTAATGTGTTTTTGTGTCTATAAAACAGAGATTAATGCTTCTTGGCCTGGGTATTATTAGAATATATACTGTGGCGTATGAGAAAGGGTGTTGAATTCTTTACGAGTATTACGAGGTGCTGTTTTGAATGTGCTCTTGATGTGGGATCACCATTTTATTAGTCTGACTTACTGTCCCCATGCAGCATCCTCACTCTTCCCTTTTGATGCCTCTTCAATAGCATCTTCATTTTTCTCTTTTGGTCTTTGTAACTCTGCAAGTCGTGAGAACCAGGGTTGCTATTTCTCTTTGCTGTGGGTGCTAAGGTAAAGACCTATGAGCGGTTAGTCTTCCCATTATCTGGTATATTTTAAAACTTCTATCATGGGGCACATTTATTCTGGGTTTGCAAAATACCCAGCCGCCTGTGACCCTCTGATTTTACACTTGTTTCAGGCATCGTATAAATAAAATCCAGTTGATTAAAGGACCCAACAGAATTCTACTTACTTTGGAGGATGTGACGTTCATCAATCCCCACTTTGGCAGTAAGGTAAGGAGCATCCCCCTGTCTTGCTGCACTGTAATATGGTATCCACAAAGCACAAATGACTACTGAGCACTTAACATGTGGTGAGTCTGGGGGCGCCTGGATGGCTCAGTCGGTTAAGCCTCCCACACTTGATGTCGGCTCAGGTCATGATCAGGGTGGTGAGATCAAGCCCCGTGTTGGGCTCCGCACTCAGCGTGGAGTCCGTTTGAGGTTCTCTCTCTCCCTCTCCCTCTGCCCCTCCCCCCACTCACGCTTTCTCAGTCTCTGTCTCTCTCTCACTCACATCAATCAATCAATCTTTTTTTTTTTAATTTTTTTTAAAGATTTTATTTATTTATTTGAGAGAGAGAATGAGACAGAGAGAGCACACGAGAGGGGGGAGGGTAGAGGGAGAAGCAGACTCCCCGCTGAGCAGGGAGCCCGATGTGGGACTCGATCCCGGGACTCCAGGATCATGACCTGAGCCGAAGGCAGTCGCTTAACCAACTGAGCCACCCAGGCGCCCTCAATCAATCAATCTTTAAAAACATGTGGTGAGTCTGAAATGAGATGTGCTGTAAGAGTAAAATACACTCTGGATTTAGAAGATTTAGTACAAAAACATGTAAAATATCTCATTAAATTAAAAAAACATCAACTACATGTCAAAATGATAATACTTTGGATGTAGTTGGTTAAATAAAGCATATAATTAAAAAAATTTTAATTTCTATTATGTTCAGTTAGCCACTGATGATCTCACCTGCTTTTTATGTTTTTTAATGTGACTACTAGGAAGCTTATAATACATATGTGGCTCAGGTTACAGTTCTAGTGGATAGTGCTGTCTTAGAACAGTTTTGTGAAAGCGATGCAGTGCACTTTGAGCAATAATGTAGCTTTGACTTCATATAACCCTTCTCTAGTCTATCTGAACTCCACATTTGATTGCTTGTTCCTCAAGGGCAGAGGTACATTTTCTCTTAATGTTAGCCCATAGCAACTGACCTCCTGCTGATGGTATAATAGGTGCTCGTAAATGTTTGGTGAATGAATCAACTAGTGAAAATCAGTTGAATGTCCCCCGGGGTTCTGTTCTGATGGTGATTGTATTAAAACTGGTGCTCTTCACTGAATGCCTATACTGGCCCTGGGCTGGACTTTGTGAACGATAGCATGGAGTCCCTGCCTTCAAAGAGATTATAGTTAAGTTAGAGAGGCAAATTATACCACACAAGAGAGCTGATAGCTGCCATATTGCACAAAAGACACTAGAAATATGGTAAACGTCAGAGGAAACATAGCAGTGGAAGAAGGTTTTTTTTAGCAACCCAGCACTAAAGCTGGGTCTTAAACAAGGATGGATAGGATTTGTCTAGGTCACAGGTCCCGAACTGGTAAGCACTTTTGTTTGACCCTTATAGTTATAAAAAAAATAGTACCCAGAATTTTGAAATTGGGAGATTACACATAAAAATCTGGATTTCTGGGTGTTTTTTATTTTTTAAAAAGATTTTATTTATTTATTTGACAGAGAGAGAGAGCACAAGCAGGGGGGAGCGGCAGGCAGAGGGAGAGGGAGAAGCAGGCTTCCCACTGAGCAGAGAGCCTGACGTGGGGCTTGATCCCAGGACCCCAGGATCATGATCTGAGCCGAAGGCAGATGCTTAACCAACTGAGCCACCCAGATGTCCCTCTGAGTGTTTTTTAAAGGTTGGAAGATCCGTCAGCCTTGGGTATCATCGTGGCAATTGGTTGGGAATCAGTAGTAGTTGCTGTTTTTGGAAGAAGCATGTTCTCTGCAGTTTGACCCAGTTCCCATTACTCTCTACTGTCTTATACTCAGCCTATGTCACCAATTTATATTTACCTTCCTGACCTGTGTAGGCAGAGAAAACAGCGTAAACACAAGCTTGGAAAAAAGAAAGTGTGGGGAAGAGTTTTGTCAACTGTAGTAGTAATAGGAGAGGATGCCTCTTTGTGTCCAGTCTATGTGGCCAAAATAAAGACATTCATTTTTGCAAATTCTAGTATAGTGGTAGCAAGATGTAAGGAGAGAATGCAAACACATCTTATTTGTCCCCCATGAGCTACTTACTTGTGCTAAACCAGTGTACCAGATCTGAGAATTAATGATCTCTGTGACCAAACTGATCATTTGCCTAAATGTGGCACTGAACGGTATACTTGAACTAGTTGGCTGGGTGACTATGGGTTTACATGGCAATACTCTGTGCAGTTGGAATCAGATGAAATGTTCAGCTGTTTAGTTTAATTCTCAATTACAACCCTAACTCTTATTTGTTTAAATCACCACATATTTTTTGTAAGGTTGATATCATGTTCCTGGAAATGTACTGCTGAATGCCAAAATTATCACTGTGGCTGAAAGCTACATTCCACCCTCATGCCATAAAAACGTATTGATGTTAGTCTCTATTTCTGAAGCCACCAGAGGACCCTGGGACTCACTCGGGGTGGTAGATTTTGTCTGGATTTGCTATAATCCCATATGCCTTGTATGAAATTTCCCACCTTAATCAGAAAGGGTAGATACTGAAGTGCAAGCTCTGAAGCAATCTCAATAGATAACCCGATACTGAGAAAACAAGTATTTAATTCTATGACAAGATATTTTATCCAGAAATGGGTAATCAGTAGTAAAAGCAGATGATTGGAAATCGTTGTTCAAACCTAGCAATGTTTACTAAAATTTTGGTTATGAGCACTAAACCTGTTTTTAAAAATCTTACTTCTGTGGTGGTATCCATGTCAAAATGACAGCTCATGTCGATTGCCCGGATGTTTTGGCTCTTGAGTGTCAAAACAACAAACAGATACTTTTCGGGCTGAATTAACCCTCTCTTTGTATAGGCCTTGCAATAGTCCAGTAAAGTGTGTAAAATCTCCACCTGTGCCTTCTCTCTTTCCTACTGAGACACAAAACATGTTTGGGTTTCATTTGGAGTCTCAGAAAATCACCATAAATAATAGAATAGTGCTACCTTCAGATGAACAAAGTGTCTAAGTTTTTAAAATCTTGTTCATGATGATAGATCTTTTCTTTCACTTGTGCATACATTTTGACATGATGAGAGTAAACAAAACAACAACCCAATAATCACTTTTCATTGCATGAGTGAGAAAAATGAAGAGCAACAGGGATTGATAGCCTTATAGGGAGTGTTTCTTTTATTTTTTACTGTTTTCGCCCTGGTGCAAAAAGGATGGCATTATTCTAGAACATAGCTCTTGGCCTCCAGGTCCCTTTTGGCATTTGGCTTTTATCAGAGTTTCTGATGGGAAAAGGTAGGGGAAGCATACATTTTCCTTAATTGCTGTGTAGTCACAAACTTGCAGCTGGCTGTGTCTAATCAGTCAAGAAGCCAAGCCAAGAATTCCATCCAAATGGAATGTCTGAAAGTGTAAACTTTTGGTGAATATAAAATTAATTCAGTCTAGAAAAATTGGCAGGTCAGTAGAAGTCAGGTCAGGAAAGGAAGTTTTTAGAAGAAAGTAAAGCTGAAGCCCAAATCTATGTGGATTTTGGCAGATTCTCTTGCTTTCTCCTGTGCCCCTTCATGGAGAGGTCTATGTCTCAATATACAGATCTAGGTGCTCCTGCTGAGATATGAAAATAAAGAATGAAAGAGAAGTAGATTCCTCCTTGGCCTCGCTCTGTTGAGGAGAGTTCAGGTTTATGCAAGGGTTATGTGAAGAGTCAAGTTTTGCATCTTGTCTGAATCGTGAGCTGTTGGGATTTCAACACATTAGGAGTTGGGTATAGTTTACTAGTGCCTTGGAATTTCGTTATAGTCTTGTCTTGGTAGAATGAACTTAACTCGAGGGCCAAATCAACTAGTGATCTTCAGTTTATCAAAGACCATTAAGAGCAGAGTATGTCAAAGTACTTAAGATTCATTTTTATTGGCAAGCAAGAGTGAAACAGAGCATGGTGTGTTCGAAAAAACACAAGACCGGGATATAACATCCACATTCCTCTTCCAGTCCCTATATCCCTCACTAAGTCTCTATTTCCTAGTTGTAAAATGGGGGTGTTAGAGTTGGGGGGCGGGGGCTAGCCTAGACAATACCAAATGTAATTGCTGGCTCTGAATTACTGTAATTCCAAGAAAGGCACATTTGGAGACATGGAGAAGAATATGAGGAACCTGTTGATTTATGATTTCCTCACATGAAATAAGTCTACTGGTTTAGTTGAAGATAAAGCTGGTCGATTTTAAAGGTTACCACAGATTGCAGATAGCTCTTCCTCTTGTCATTCAATGGTACACTTCCTGGTCCTCTCTTACCAGACTTATGTGTACAAGTTAACAAATCAAGGAATAAGGAACTTGGCCTATTTAAGCATCAGACTCATAAATCATGGGCAGACGATCTACTCACTCTCTACTGTCTTATTGCTTTGTGGGATACCTTCTGCCATTAATCTTGCCTGCACAAAGAAGACTGCCATTCAAGATGGTATAACAAAAGGAGCCAGGCCTGAGAGCCAGAAGGGTGGGATTATGTGCTAGTTCTGCTATTGATTTTTTCAAAATGTTAGATGCTTATGTTCTTATTTTTGTCTATAGAGTGAGGGTCCCAGATTAAATTATGACTGGTGTTATTTCTTGCCCCCCCCACCAAATCTCTGATTCTTTTTTATTAAGAATCTATTTATTTATTTATTTATTTATTTATTTATT